TTGTAAATTTACAAAAATAAAGCTTCTCATCATAAACAGAGACAGTTCAATTGTTGTTTTCTGTCGTTGTTTTACTTCTTAGTATAATTTCTGCCTTCGCAACAAATAAAATGTCTTTATCGAAGCACCGTTTAGGTTGAGAATTTGTGTATTTCGCTACAGTTGTACATGTTTTGTCGGCGGGAATCTAGCAAAACTTGTTATTTTAGTACAGTTTTAACACTACTGTTGCTAGAAATGGTCTCTGTGAGCCATATTTACTGCAGAAAAATAGCTCGCTTCTAGTGCGTTTGTCTGAGTCACAGGGGTTGTTTAATTTGGGTCAAATTTGTCAAAATTCCGAAGCAAAATTTGGAAGCCAACTTACCGTCATCAACCCGTGCTCTGTTCGCTGATGTTTAATTTGGGTCAAATTTGTCAAAATTCCGAAGCAAAAATTTGAAAGCCAACTTACCGTCATCAACCCGTGCTCTGTTCTCTGATAAAGCACGCTCTTTCAGCCAATCAGAGCGCGCGTTGTATGGAAACTTTATAAAAATATAATTGATAAGAACACTGATTATTCATGGAAGGATCATGCGGATCACATCCGCAAGAAGACAAGAAGCCTGGCTTCCTTACACAGATCAAGCAATTTCTCAGTGCTCGGATAACTTTTATAAAAAACCTTGTTTTACCGCTTTTGATTATGGTGACTAGAGGGTAACACTTCTCTTATGTCTGATCCGTAAGCACCACAAAACAAAGCTGCACGTACTACGTATTAAGTGTAACTTAAACTGTGATTTTTATGATTATAACGCTAGATACAAGAAAAACTTAAGGAATCAAGCTGCAGCCAACAGAAAATAGGGTTTTTGGACAACTATTAATTTTGCTGCTAACGACTGTACAAGAAGAAAAGCATCATCTTTAATGGTCTCTTTAAAACCTCTCTGTGATTGATTCATCATTCTTTTCAGTAAGTCTTTTATTTTTTTAACGTTTAATAGTTTGTTAGTACATAGCTTCTAGTTTCGTCCTGAGTATTAAGTCTTATAAGAACCCTTCTGTAAACTAATTTTAGTGAAGTCGGCTTCATCAATTGAGATCTATGTGTTCTCTGTGCCTGTATACCAAGTTATAATGCAAGCGGAAAGTTTGAAGGACGCGAATGAAGCATAAGATCTGCTCGAAGTGCCGCCGACAGCTGACTCTACATGTAACTTCTTGAGTGATCTCCAAACTTCCCAAAATTCTCCAAACTTTGCATGTTTATCTCAAACAAACTACTGATCTAAATTTCTCGCAAATTGTTGATTAACAGATCCTCAGTACATCCCTGACAAAATACAGCTACCAACAAAAGTGATTTTCACCAGCGCCATGTTGTTCACCTTCCTAGTGTCTGTGATGGGTAACTCTCTTGTCATCTACGTCATAACCAAACATCGCTCCATGAGAACATCAACGAATTGTCTCATCATGAACTTGGCAATTTGTGATATTCTGACCACCTTGATATTGACCCGTTCTCTTGTTATACAGCTCTTCGCCGGCGATAAGTGGTTTGGGGGAACGATTGGAAGAATTACTTGTAAAGTACTCGCAGCGTTCGGGATTTCTGTGCTGCTTTTCTGCTCGGTTTTTAACTTCGTTGCCATCGCCATTGATCGATTTCTCGCTGTCTCTCAACCACTTACTTACAAGTTGTCATCGAAATGGGTGGTTAAAATAGCTATTCCAGCCACATGGCTGGCTTCTGCTCTCTTAGCTATCGAACCGGTAATGTCTACACAAATTGAATACTATGGTGGAGACGGAACGCCGAAAAGCATAAAGTCTGAAGTGAGCTCTCAGGAACATCATTTAATCTCTGCGACTTGTTTAGTTGTGTCGTTTGTCGTTTTGATTGATCTATATTCCATAATTGCTTATCGTCTTTGGAGAAGAAACATTCCTGGGGAAGTTTCGAACAGTCAGCACGCACTTGCCATTCGTACAGCACGGAATGTCACTGTTTTAATGATACCAGTTGTACTGATAACTTCTGTTATTTTATGGTCACCAGCTTCTGTTATTATGATCTTACTGATTAATGGTAATCCCATTTATAATACCGCCGTCGAAAACCCCTTTTTGTATGCCTTCGGCTACTGGTTGTTTTCAAACAACAGTGCTTGTAATCCGTGTTTGTATTTTATATTTATTGAGAGCTTTCGTCAAAGTCTAAAAATCGTTTGTTCACAATACTGCGCCCCTGAATTAAGGCTGTGTCCCATTGGACACGCACGTGAAAGACGGTTTGAAACTGAAGAAAGAACTACTGAGTTAACTTCGTACCGGACTGTGAGCCACAAAGGCGCACCGCCATGATTTGACTACAAACGTAAAAATGCTATCTACTAACCAGACGCACTTATCTGCCAAATGGACTCAGGTGTGGCGTCTATACATGAAATAAATCCTAACAGACAGTCCTGATAAACCAGATCAGACACTGATACACGTAAGGGGACTTATGATGCAAGACGAGGAGGAATGAAGAAAGACGGGTTTGTAGAATCATTCCCAAACTGGCCACACTGTCTCTGCTTCAGTAAGGAAAGCTAGTGCGATGACTGCGCTTCTTGTCCTTGTCCTTCTTGATGAGGCCGAAGGCCGAATCAACTATCACGTCATAGAAATCGAGAGCGAATAATCTAATTGTTTCAGTAGAATTCTAACTAAAATTTACTTCAAATGACACCTTCAAATTATTTCTTGACGTATTATCAAACTTTGTGCCCGAAAAAGATCGCTGGGATTGAATTGTCATTTAAAATTGAAGTTGTGCGCGCGCATCAGTTTTTTCGATAATTTCAACTTTTCTAAAAGTCAAGAAACCGTAAATGTCCTTCGTTTAGACTTCTCAGGAATGTAATTACCCATTTACGTCAAAATGTTCCTCCAAAACTTTGGAAAAACGAAAGAAAAACGTCAGCATTTCCTAGATGGCCCCCAGCCACTGCATACTAATGGCTGATAGTGTTCAATGGCTCAGCCAATCAGATCACAGCATTTGCATTAGTATACTAGTAGAGTTCTTTATATTTAGTATAAAGCTACTATCTTTCTATCACGAATGCCGCTCTCTGATTGGCTCCGCTACTCACTATTCTGTTTCAGTATAAATCTACTAGCGTTCTATCACGAATGCCGTTCTCTGATTGGCTACGCTACTCACTATCTATTCTGTAATAGACAGTGAGTAGCGTAGCAGTATGCTCTTCTTAACAAAATGACGGCCGCTTCCTGGCGTTTTCGAAGTGTCTGTGAAGAGGATTTAGATTCAGTTTTGAACGACTAGAAGATTCATACTAAAACAATTAGATTATTCGCTCTCGATTTCTATCGCGCGATAGTTGACCACTAAATTTTCTCCGATTCTTATTGGTCTAAATTGACCACGTGACGCGATAGTGATCGTCAGCGGAGAGACACTATCAGCCCATAGTGCACTTCCGAGGAAAATACCCGGATGGATAGTACTCGTCCGTGAAAATTTTTCTGTAAACAGGCGGGCTTAGAGAAAATAAACAATTGAAATTGTACTAAATAGGTTTTTGTCCGTTTTCTTTTTCAAATTTTACGTTTGGCTTTCACGGCTTTCATCTAAACAAGTTGAAAATAATTCAATATGATTTTTGAACTTGCACGCGGAAGAAAATTTAGTGGTGAACAATAAAGACAATGTTTATGTCTCGGAACTACCGGCTGATAGTTGCCCCGCAGAAATTTGATGTTCTTAAGACCGAGTTTACCAGAGGACCAATGGCAGGGGTGATACATGCCATCTCTCCTTTTTGGATGAAACTTTGCCACATTGAAGGTACTACCCAATTGCCGCTTTTCATGCGACGTCATCATTTTCTAAAATAAGAAATTACCAATCCTTCTGAAGTTTTAGTTTCATCATACGTAAGACCCTCTAATAACTTGACGTTTTGCAGCGTTTAAGCTCGACAGGGTTCCTCACTTTGAAATAGGACACGTTTGAATTTCCAAGTTTATGCGTTGCGTGACATTAAAAAGGCGGCCCGATAAGGCTCTCGAGTAGTCAAAAAGAGTTATTGCTCAAGTTTTTGCTAACTAAACAGTTGTTGCTCTATAAAAAGTGTTAATTTCAATGTTTCGGAGCTCT